AAATATTTCACGATGGCCAGTCGGCGCCTGTAGGCCTGTATGAGTGCGGGAGACGGAGAGAGCGCGCGGAAGAATCGCTATATTGATATAAATGGTAAAATCTAAAAAAAAAAAAAAAAAAAAGACGGAGACCGAGCTGTCAGGTTTAATTGATAATTATTTTATGACATTTGTGCAGCGTGTATCTTAGACATCAGTATTCGAAGTGAAGTTTTCATTTGTTTGTTAGGTAAATTAATAATCCAATCATATAGGCTATTTGTATTCATAAGTTTATGTGCCTGCCTTTTCGACGGAAAGAAAATAATGTTGAGATACAACAAATGTGTATATATAACAATTGGTGATATATAATGAGTTATTTATAAACATAGTCTACATAATTAAACGTAAGCTAATTTGAACCTGACTAACATTTTCCGCTTCCATGACATTGTTTCCATTAATAGCCACGCAAACGAGTCAAATTTGCAGTTCAGGCTAAAATCTGTTTTGAATGATAATAGATAGGCAATTTTTATATCTGAATCAGACGAGCGTAAACTGAATTATATCTCACTTTCAGCCAGAGAAACATAAAACTATAGGCTTATTACTGGTAAATTGTTACAAATATTTAACTACGTAACGATCCCAGATAAAACATCTCAATTACTTGTAATATATTAACACGCACAATTAGTTATGTGTTTTATAAAGTTGAATTAACTGAGTACGCAATATTATTCCTATTAGTAAAAAATGTAACGCTTTTTTAACGAGAATTTTTTATTCACAAACCGTGTTGCGTGACAACCAGTTACATCGGCAACAGATCATTTGAAATCAACATTAAAAAGATACCAGGTTTTTGTAAAAAATAAATCCGTTCAAACACTGATATTGTAGCCTGTGTCCTTCAAACCAAAATTTAGAGAGTGAAAAAGTAATTATAGAATGTATATATTTTTAACGTTTAGCCTATGTAATGCGATATATTCAAAGGTGTTAATTGTTGTCTGGCAAACGTGTGCATGATATGTTCTTATTCGATCTACTTATTTAATAAGCATATTGGTAAAGCAACTAATGTTACAACAAGCGCGTAGAAAAATTTGGAGTCTGTAAATAATGAACAACATTTTTGTAAATACGGATTACATAAAAATGTGTCCTACTACCTTTGCTTTTAATAACGTCGGGACACTTCACAGGGGCAAGTTAGCAAGGAAAAACTGTAGCTACATTGAATGAACGTTGGCATTAACGTTGTGGCATGCAGTTTGCCACAATGTGTCATACATGCAGTATGTAATTGATGCATTCTTCCAAATCGAATTTGAACCCTACGACTTGAGCGTTTAGTAGCTGTCCAAGGTACAAGATTGTAAAAGAACACATACAGCAGGCTTCATTAGAAAAATAGGCCAGTAGTGTTTCATACATTTTCCTCCATCTCCGAGTTATAGTTTCATCGAAAACATGCATTTGAATATAGCCTAACATATTTTCAGTCTTAAAAAAATATTTTTAAAAGACAGCAAAAATTCTGAACGTCTACGGTAAATACTTACCGATACCATATAAAAATAATGCCGAATTAAAATCAAGTACTTAAACGAAGTTTTGTATTAGTTAACATCGGAATATCGTTACAATCAATATAAACGCCTGAGAAGAAAAAAAATGCACATTAAAACGTTGCAATGCAGCAAAGTTGTGGCGAATTAAGCGATTGAGTATTTCTTAATGTTAATGTTTCTTGCACTTGGATCTGTGTCATTTTGTTCGCGTTTTCTAGGCATTGTTGTTTCTGTTTTACCAGGTAACATGACGTTCGTTTGCGTATCACAAGTTATCCTTACAGCAATAAATTATCCTTACAGCCATCGTGTAGCGTTGCTTTGTGCATTTCCAGACATTCGCGATTTCTAGGAATGAAGTGTTGAGTGTTTCCAACCTGTGGGGTTTAATTGCAGAGCAGCTGTTTTCGCCGGGATAGGATGCCGATGATGATTGATGCAGACATGATTAGAAGGTTGCTATGCAGAGGTACCATATAAAGAGCGCGGTAATTAGTGGACACGTTTTTTTTATCACCGAAGTTAATCCATTCTCAGTGCATGGGGATGGTATAATTTTAATTTTGATGACGAAGAACGAATTTAAGTTCACCTTTAAAGCAGAATATTTGAATATTCAAATGGTGCGGTTGTAGTGCATAGGACGTTTGCGGTTTCCGTTGAAAATTTAGTTTGGTAAACAATCAGGAAATATTTGCATTGGATTTGAAGAAAACTTTCTTTCACTGCACAGATATGAAAATGTCATTGGCACACCTACAAAATCTGTCCTACGCCTATACAAGCATGAGGACAATAGATGCCCTTTGGTGTCATTCGACTTCTAAATCTCTGTAAGGTGCAGTTTTTTCGGCGAGGTTTTTTCTCCTTATGCACAATAGCAAAGTAGTATCCTCCTCGGGCTACAGTTGAAATGAGGTCTTCCTTTCACAGGGGAGGCCGATGAATGCCTAACTCCCACCATACTGCGGAGAAAATTCTCCTTTTTAGGCGATGGGTGAGAGTGTAAGAAGCTTACGCTGCTACTACAACAAAAAAGGTCACAGAGAGAGAGAGAGAGAGAGAGAGAGAGAGAGAGAGCGAGAGCAGCTCCAAAGGCACCGTAGCTGAGCTCCTTATTACACAACACTTAAACATTTTATTTTTCAACATTTCGACTCTGCGTTAGTTTATTGCACTCACTAACACAAGACGCAATCACAAGACTCATGTGCCCGTTTATCCGAGAAGCTTTCTAATCAGACGGTCATACATTAATAAAAGGGTCTTGCATCAGTTCTCCACGAACCCGAACTGGAAACGGGAGTCGGGTTGATTTCGCTCTGCCAAACAAGCAGTTTGCAGGTCGCCCAGGATGTCATTTCACCGGGGAGCGCTGGGATCACCACCGGGGTCCCGGCCATAACACCCAACACACGAACAAACACACAGTGCGCCAGCTCAAAACACAAACATCAGCCGATACGGGGTTCTGAAGATTTAGCGACAGGGGCTCTCAGGCTGCCACAAGTTGTTGCCATTCGGCCATGTGAATCTAGCCTTCTTTATTCCCTCAGTAATACCATGGTGTTACACGCACAGTAAAAAAGATCATGAAAACAGTTTGCCCGTTGGTTTTGGGGGTTCAGTTCAACAAAATGTTTTATGCTAGAGTTAGAATGGAATGTTTCTATTTTCATTACATTTTAGAATAATAGGACATACCATACTATGCATGTTGGAAATGTTAAAATAGTAAGACTTTCAGAATCGGCATTGACCCCACAAGGTCATGTACAAGGTCAGTGCTTAGAAATCTGACGTAAGAAAATATATCATTAACACATTTCTGATAGTACATTTGTTACATTTTAACAATCATTAATTCAGATAGAATGCTGCATATGTCTAAGAAATATGTTGATGGTCTGCATGCTATTCCCATAAGCAGCTCCGAACCCGGTAATGAGGGTGCCAAACTAAAAGCTTGCTGGGGCACTTGGAGCAGTTTTAATGTCTGGATTGCCCACTGGGGCAGGTCATGTGACTGCCTGCCATGCTCTTACCCAATCAGAGGAGCTCTCTGGAGACTTCTGTTACATCACCGGAGGCCACAGCACCAGGCCTGCCCACCTGATCATCGCACTGCGGATAAACTGACTCTGAATATTTCATTGAGGAGTTTGGGTTTCTCTGCCCCTGGAGGTCAGGCCTCCACAGTCCGCCCCCATCACTCTAGGCTGTTGGTCCTATGTTGCTTGTTCGTGCCACAGCTTTTGGGTCTGGGAGGGTGTCCTACCCTAATCCCCATGACCTAGAACCTGGGAGCGTATTACAAAAAGTGTACTACCCTACCCCCCCCAGCCCTCAAATGACATGAAGCATGATACCCGCCATCTGATAAATAAAGAGCGAGATTGCGGCGCTTCAGAGTATTGGGGAGACATAAACACCAGTATTTGTCTGGATGATGGGCTTGTGCACTTGTGTTGCAGACCAAAAACAGGGAAAAATATCTATGTCCATGTTGTAAGATTCCTGTGAGACTAAGAGCTTCATGCTATGCGTGAGGTATCACCACGGCAGGTATGCGAGCAGGACAGAGGTCCGTCCTGGCAGGGCACAGCACAGACTGTGATGCTGAGGCATTATCCATCAGATAAAGACCCCCAATAACCCATAGTGAGGACCTGAAGAAGAAAAATAAGACATAAAAACACAACATAGTATGTAATAGTGACTCCGAAGGGGAAATCCAGCCAAATGCAAAGGTAGTGGGTGAAGGTCACAGACCCACAGTTTTGCCTTCTGTAACCTTGATATAACCTGTGAAACTATTCTGGACCAGGAAATTTTGGTGGAACTGTCTTATTCATTAATTTGCTTACTTAATGCATCCCATTCATATTCTGTGAACTAATGTCATGTAAATAATAGCAAAAAAAACGCGTGATGTGGTTTGTTTTACTGAAAGAAATTGTCTTCAATCCTAGTGTTTTACACCTAATGTAGAGGCTTGGCAGGAAAGATGGCACTGGAGCGCCCTCTACTGGACATATCAGAAAATGATGAGTGAAAAGCAACAGTTTCTGTCCTACTCAAGTAAGCTGGACTGACCAGCCAGCATTCCAGGCTTTTTCCCAGTGGGCCAATGGGTATGCAGGTCAGCAAAATTTATCCCTGACCCCCACACAAGCTGGCCAAATGTATTGTGAGGGACCCAAGAGTCCGGGGACATTCATAAATCCCAGTCCAGCCCTGTGCAGAGCCTGTACATTTACTAGCAATCAAGACAGCTTATAGCTATGAAGCTCTATTATCCATCCCCAAAATTTCAGAATATCCCACATTTAGATCTTCTAATCGATTCAAGATATTCATACTCAGCAATTTAAATGCCCCTTAGATGGTATGACAGGGTGAAGAGCCCTTGATGTCCACAAAGTACACAGTGTCAAGACTTGTACACATTTGGTATTTATTTAAAAAGTTAGTCTTATTTATACACAACTACTTGACGTTATAATCATATAGATTAAAAGGCATGTCAGTGTCATGCATGCCCACTATATAATCACAATGAAAAATAACTAAGAAGGGAAGAAGAGAAAACGGGGGGTAAAGTAAGTTTGGAGAAGACAGTTGGGGGCGGGGGCAAGCCAATATGGATGGCAGTGTCATTTGCAGTTTTCTTGTGCATCGCCTTAGCTGTCAAACAGGGTTTCCATGGACTTCCGTAACCTCCACTCTGACCCTGCTGCAGTTTGACTGCATTTGTAAGAAGGAGGAAAAGAAATGAGTGATGAAGGTGGCAACTGGGCTGCTGCCTGGTCCTCCTCCCGGACCCGACGCCCGCATCATGCCCTCGGTCCCGGGCCATGCCAGCTGCACTGTGGGTGCTGCAAGGGAACTCTTGGTGGAACGCCCGCTTCTTTCGCAGGTAAACAATCATTCATGCACAGCAGAGCAAGTCTGCAGCCTCATTTTAGACTGTACTGCGCTCTGTATAGGAGCCAGAAGGTGCATTCTGTGAGATCTGACTAAGCACACCAGCATCGGGGCCATTCTGGATTGCATTCATCAATCCCAGTCTAAATAAGAAAATGAAACTGGAGTTGGAATTTAAATCTCCCTGAAATTCAAATTCAATTCCAATTCTGTTCTCCATAGTTCTTTTTCCCAATCCCAAGTTGATGAATGCATTCCAGAATGGCCCCAAACCTGAAGCACACAGAAAAGGAATCAGTTGCACGTTTAATTTCATTCATTCACTCATTCATTCAGAGCGGTTACAAAAGCTGCTCTTTTTCAATTTTGAACTTTAGGTCATGCAAGCTCTCAATTCCAGCATATAAAAGGGGACAAGGTTAGTGTTACGTCCCTCTCGTTATTTTCTCGGGCAGAATGCGGGATAAACAGGAAATAAACAGACAAGCTGACCTCTGGCTGTTGCATACTGTTACTATGTGCTGCCTCGTTTATCATGACAACAGCGGGGTGCCGTGGGGAAAGGAGCAGCGCGGTGCTGACTGTGAAACCTTCCAGTCTGCAATCCAGAAGGCCCTTCCTGACCACAACATCCCATCTCAGCCCACCTCCAATTAATCCACTATGGCAAATACTCAACCCTATAAAGATATTAAAACCCCAGCAAAATACTTATTAGGTTTTATAGAAGGTCACTCCCTTCATGTGGCTGCAGGCTGAGCAGAGAAGGTAGACGTCCCGCTCCAGGCCGGCAGTGGCCTCATCCAGCACTTCCAACCCTCCAGGATGCAGGCTGCATTACCCAGGACTCCATAAAATAGTCAGGAAAGACTTGGAAGGGGAACAACACACAAGATCTGCAATACAGCAAATCATGTCATTGGAATCTCTTAATGAATTACACAACATAATGATGCAAACTGAACTCATTAATCCTCTCCTCTACAGGAAGCTGCCTGAAACCAGTTACTTCTACAATGAGGGAAAACCTGCTGTACATATTTTAAACTGAATTTGCCACACATTTTCCTAAATAAGGAACTAACCCTAGCATTACAGTTCAGCTCAAGAAAGCAAGCTGACAATATCAACAAGCCAACAAAGGCCTGTACAAGATTCCGTGAGAAGACTGCCACCCAGTGACGGAAAAATCAGGCAAACATCTAAACTATGAATGCAGCCCTATCCTTCACACAGAAACCAAAGAGTGCTGTTCCCCATCTTTTTACAGCACGGGCTCAACAAAGCCCAGGATAACTTACTTTCCGAATGGTGTAAAACTACAACAGGGTAATGAGACAAACAGAGGAGACTTTCCTATAATGGTCAATTAAACCAGGATAAAATAAATACCGCTTGTTTGTCTTGCAAGAATGCAAAACCACGTGAAAAATGTCTTTTGAACACCGGCCTCCCTGCAAGACCTCAGTAATATCAGCATCAGGCTAGCCGAGCTGGCAGGCTAAAAATAATGTTACACAGAGCCTCCAACGTGTCACCCCGACTGTGTGACCTTTCCCAGAATCCTGCTGTGTACAGGCAGCCATTTCTAAGGTGCTGACACTTCATGGTACTGGCCGGGGGGAGGGTGTTCAAGGGTTTGAACAGAAGGACAAGCAATTATTACCACTTTAAATCCAACCCAAAAAGACAGGGAAATTTCTCACAATCCAAAAAAGCTCTCAGAGAGGCATTTTCGGTGTGTTGCCAGATAAGACCAGCCTACAAACAGCAGCATTCAAATTAAGTAACATGATCTACTGACTGGAAGAAAGTTTAATACAATGAAACAGCTTTTTTGAACACTGTTTTTCTGGCTTGGGGTTTTAAGTCTTCAGTCACTCTCTTTAATAAGCACTGTCATGATGTCACAACCAGCAACAACATCTGTATTATTATGATGGCCACGGAGAAGAGAGGTGAATTCCAAGTGACCATGATCATACTGAATCACAGGTGAGAAAAGTGGGTAGTCCAGCGAAACTGCACTGCTCAGGGTGGTTAAGGGGTGAGCAGGATGCAAAAGATGGGCGTCTAGAGGGGGAGAGAGTAGAAATGAAAAACACCAATGCTACATCCATAAAAATCCTTTTTAGTCATAAAAAATTGCCTTGTTTAAATATGAATATCAGTCTGCTCCTTGCGGCTGGGAAATCGGAGTCTGTTTAAGGACATCGCCACACACTACAACTCCATATCTTGGGCTTCGTCCTCAGAGAAATCTGACATGGAGCTCTCCGACGAGGAGTCCCCGGCCCGCTCTTCCTGCTCCTTCAGCGCCTCCTCTGTTGCATATTTCTGGATGTATTCTGCAGATGCCAAAAAGGAGGGGAGGGGGTCAGGAGAAGTACTGACCTTGACAGAAAGGTCTGCTAACAACAGGATATCTTTAAATGGCCTGGACTGGCATGTAGTAATACATGGGCCTTGAGAGAGCATTCGGGCAGGCAGCCATACAAAGGCCTCTGGAGGGCAGACCGGCGGCAATACACGGGCCTCCCGAGGGCAGGCGGACGGTAATACATGGGCCTCCCAAGGGCAGGCGGACGGTAATACACGGGGCCTTCCGAGGGCAGGCGGACGGTAATACACGGGTCTCCCGAGGGCAGGCCGACGGTAATACACGGGTCTCCCGAGGGCAGGCGGACGGTAATACACGGGGCCTCCCGAGGGCAGGCGGACGGTAATACACGGGGCCTCCCGAGGGCAGGCGGACGGTAATACACGGGCCTCCCGAGGGCAGGCGGACGGTAAAACACGGGCCTCTGGAGGGCAGACGGGCGGCAATACACGGGCCTCCCGAGGGCAGGCGGACGGTAATACACGGGCCTCCCGAGGGCAGGCGAGCAGGCAGCAATATACGGGCCTCCGGAGGGCGGGCAGGCAGGCAGCAATACATTGGCCTCCGGAGGGCAGACGGGCGGCAATACACTAGCTTCCAGAGGGTGCTCACCTCTGATTCTGCGCTTGTATTCTTCCGGCCGGTGCAGGTACATGGCAGCCGCATCCCCGTTCAGGGGATCAATGGGGTTGGGGTACGCCAGCAACTGAGGCAAGAACGACTCAAAGATATTGGTGAGATCTGCAAAACAAAATGAAAATTGTACATCCCACAGAAGACTCAGTAGGCTTTCAATTGTCAAAGTTACTGAAGCACTACATGTGGCCACTAGGTGGTACGCAGTCAATCACAAAAAACAATGCAGCCAAAACAGGCAGGGAAACTAATTCATTCAATCAGATTCAATTTAGAAAATTCAGTGAAACAAAAGGATTAACCTGTATTTAGCTCATTTATTTAATTGCCGATTTCGTTTTTGTATTAGCATATGGTTATTAATTTCAGTCTTTTAAACAGGCTAAATTATCAAAATTGAATGTATAAGAAATGCTTTGATTGAAACATTTTTTCATGAGCATTGAGTACACGCTGTAAAGTCATTTTTTTCTGGGATTTTCTTTAAGTTCCTTATTAAACTTCTTAGTCTTACATTTCTGAAACAAAAAAAAATCACCTGGGGTTTCATTTATCAAAGCGTGCGTAGACCAGTTCCTCAATGTGTGCACATGAATCATTGGAATGCACGGGCAAATCAGTGTTTATCACTCCTGTGTACAAATAGCTATACAAAGTGAACATTGATAAATCTCATGCATTCTAAATGTGAATGTGTGTCTGCAGCAATACTAATTAATGTGAAGGAGTACCCTCAATGAACCATATAGGGATGTGCGACTTCTACATAACACACATCAACACACAGAATAGGAGAACATGTTGCAGAAATGGAAACCGTGAAGAGAGATGTACCTTTATATCCTTATTCCAGTTTGTAATGTATTTTCCACTATATGCTTGTATTGTTATTTTCTAACTGTATTTTGCTATTAAGAAAAAAAAGGAGAAAAAAGTAAACTGAAGGGGGAAAATGAACTTGGAAAATGAGGTGGAAGTTTTGCTGGATGTAATAAACAAACAAGGTCTGTTTCGCCACTTTACCAGTGGTCTGTCTAAGAAGGCAAAGGACCCAAGATGGGGACAGGTGACACATGCAGGCCATGCAGTGTCAACTGTAATGAGAACAGCGGCAGAGGTGAGGAAGAAGTGGCCCGATCTGAAAATGGCCACTGAGAAAAGGATCGTAGCCCACTGATTCCACGTTCATGTCACAGGGGTGACATGACGATATATTATTTCTTTAGGTATGGACCTCAAATGACTTTGAAAAAGATTCCTTGTCATTAGCATGACCTGCCTGCACATACTGTGTGTGAACGTAACTAGATCAAGGTCTATCAAGGTTGATAATTATGTGCGCATCCCATGTGCCAATCAGTCTACTGCAGGACACTTCTGTGCCACTAAGGGTTTGTGCATATGCATTGGTGGGAGTGCTTAGAAATATACTCACAGAAAGAAACTGAATACCATTTTATGTATAAGAATGTGCATACGCACAAAACCTTGTACGCGCGGTTGATAAACCACTGTTCTGCTGCCACCCACCTCTCCACCCGAAAGCAAGGGGCAACAGAACAGGGGCCAGCCCAGCCCTTTCCAAGGTTCTAAGCAAAGTTAGATTATCTTGTTGTCACTTATCTTCCTTCCCATTCTAACAGGCTGATCAGATGGGGGATCCCTGCAGGCCGATCCCATACAGAACCCACCCCCCCATTTCACGTGGCAAGCCCCCACCCACCACCAAAGGGACTCACCGTACAGGGCCGACCACGTCTGGTTGATGACATCCAGGCAAACTGTTCCTGACCTGCGGGAGAAACACTCGGGGTGAAGAGGGGGGCTGGGGCTGCCTGCCCCTAGCTTGAGCTGATCCCAGATCAGGTCTGTGCAGCGTGCCGCTAATTCCTCCAGCTTTCACTGGCTACTGATCACTGATCTGAGTCGGCAGCCACAATGCGGTCCCAGACCCGCTGTTCATAATCCTATCAGTGTGCGGGAAACCACATACACTGACTTAGAGAAACACTGAGCAATATGCCCTGGACCCAACCACATGCAGAAAGCAGCAGTATGACCCACTTTCGGTCAAAGCGAGGCCTCTGTTCCACACGCTGTCCTGCGTGGGAATGGACAGCTGGGGGTCTCGCTGACGAGCTGGTCAGGCTGGGTCAGTGAGGTTAGGAATCTAATGCGTCCACAGCTGCACATAGCACAACTTGCAGATGAATAAAATTAATTATAACTTACGCTTCATCGATGTTGGGGTGAAAAATTTTATTCATGAACCCTGTTGGAGAGGCAAGACACTTAATTAGAATCTCCTATGAAGTGTGGGGGGGGAAAAAATCAGTTTTTCCTGAGTGCTAAACCTACTAGACAGTCATTCTTACACCTTTCTTAAAATCAACCATAAAAGACAAATGCTTTCCGTTATTCAAGGAAGACTTGAATCTGCATGTTGCTGTATAATAATTTAGAATTTTAGAATTTAGAGATCAGTGGTCATTGTCAACACACCACAGCACACAGTGTGCAACAATGAAATGTGTCCTCTGCATTTGACCCATATGTGACTTTCGTGACATAGCAGGGGGCAGCTAATTCAGCGCCCGGAGAGCAGTGCTTGGGGACGGTACCTTGCTCAGGGTACCTCAGTGGTGACTTGCTGGGGGGGGGGGATTCGAACCTGCAATCTTTCAATTACAAGAGCGCTACCCTAACCATCAAGCCACCACTGCCCACAGTGGTGATAATGAAACATATACACATGCAGTATCTCACAAAAGTGAGTACACCTCTCACATTTTTGTAAATATTTTATTATATCTTTTCATGGGACAACACTGGAGATATGACACTTTGATACAATGTAAAGAAGCCAGTGTACAGCTTGAATAAGCGCAAATTTATTGTCCCCTCAAAATAACTAAACACACAGCTATTAATGTCTAAACTGCTGGCAACAAAAGTGAGTACACCCCTAAGCGAAAATGTCCAAATTGTGCCCAAAGTGTCAATATTTTGTGCGGCCACCATTATTTTCCAGCACTGCCTTAACTCTCTTGTGCCCGGTTGCTCTGCTTCAATATGTCACAGTACACGTTGGCATTCATCATTCCAACAATGCACTGTAGCTCCCCAGTGCTGGCAGCGATCATGCAGCCCCAAACCATGACACTCCCACCACCAAGCTTGACTGTAGGCAAGACACACGTGTCTTTGTCCTCCTCACCTGGTTGCCGCCACACATGCTTCACACCATCTGAACCAATTGAGTTTATCTTGGTCTCATCAGACCACAGGAAATGGTTCCAGTAATACATGTCCTTAGTCTGCTTGTCTTCAGCACACTGTTTGCGGGCTTTCTTGTGCATCATCTTTAGAAGAGGCTTCCTTCTGGGACGACAGCCATGCAGACCAGTTTGATGCAGTGTGCGGCCTATGGTCTGAGCCCTGACAGGCTGACCCCCCACCAGCAATGCTGGCAGCACTCATACGTCTGTTTTAAAAGAAAACCCCTGGATATGACACTGAGCACGTGCACCCAGCTTCTTTGCTCGACCATGGTGAGGCCGGTTCTGAGTGGAACCTGTCTTGGTCTTGGCCACCGTGCTGCAGTTTCAGGGTGTTGGCAATCTTCTTCTAGCCTAGGCCAGTATGACCAGTACGAGAGAGTGTGAGAGCAATAACACCAAGTTTAACACATCTGCTCCCCATTCACACCTGAGACCTTGTAACATTAACAAGTCACATGACACCGGGGAGGGAAAATGGCTAAATGGGCACACTTAGGGGTGTACTCACTTTTGTTGCCAGCGGTTTAGACATTAATGGCTGTGTGTTTTGTTATTTTGAGGGGACAGCAAATTTACACTCTTATACAAGCTGTACACTGACTACTTTACACTGTACCAAAGTGTCATATCTCCAGTGTTGTCCTATGAAAAGATATAATAAAATATTTACAAAAATGTGAGGGGTGTACTCACTTTTGTGAGATACTGTACATCTCCACACTCACAAACTAAACAAGAAAATGACCAGAAACTGAATTCGCAGAGGAGATCAGTAAATGCTGTTGGAAAGGCATTTAGACACAGCTCAGTACCTATAGAGGGGGACTTGAATGGATATTTCTCTGGTAGATCTACTCGCACCTTCCACACACCATCTTCGTATGGCGCTAGAGCAGAGGGAAAGAAAAAAAACGGTCAGGGGCGAACAGAGCAGCTGAACATCTGGCGGTTCCCGGTGTCAGGTGACAGGGCAGGTTGTGGGGACGGGTGGAAGCTGGGTGCTTCCAGAAGGGACAGGCACATCGGGGTGCACAAGCACCATCAGCTATGACGCATTGCTGTGTCTCTCGAAAATATTTCTATATGATTTAGCAAAATTAAAGAAAAAACTATTCAGTCACAGAGTGATCTGAGTGATTTTGCAGGTTATCGGTTACAGGTGGTTTTTTTCTTGGCTGGGTGCACTGCATTCGCACTGGTACGTCATCCACAGTCTCATAACGGTCATTAGGAAATGGTTTCCTTCCACAGCAGCTACAAACAGACGGTGCTTGACTGGAAATCCCCGCTTCCTCGAGCAGAAGGCCCCACACTCACAGCCCACATGACGCCCACAGCAACATTCAGCGAGCGTACGGCCATTTTTGGGTTTAATTCCATTTCTGCAGCATACACCACCAAAGTGCTAAAACGAGTAGGCTGGGTTAGGAGTAAAATGAAAAAAAGTATGATTCTTACTTCCTTGAGGTCCATAAAACTTCACGAGTAATTCGTTGAGTCCGCTGAGTATCGTCACTTCATGTTTGCTTTCAATGCTGAGCAGAAGTAAAGAAGTTAAGGTCTTAACTGAAGGAAGACAGTTAGGACAGATAGTCTAGCTGGACTTTCGGTCTGGTCCCGTTCGACCAGTCACTTCCAAACAGAGCATTTATGGAGACCAGAGAGATATATGGAGAACCATAAAATTCATTTTCATATCTTATTTTTAAATCCTTTACCCATACTTAGCATTTCTGACTGAGCATGACACGGGTGGCATTTGTGTCACACTATGAGCCGGTTTGGGTTTAACACAGACAATAATTTCACTACACTCATCACTTCCCATTACAATGCACCATTACACACAATGTTACCATTGACACACAGCACCCTGCCTTCCATCTACAAAGCCAAACAACTAGTGTTTCACACAGTGGTTCCAGTCTGGAAGAAAGCTGGACTTCACCCTAGACCCTGAAGCTCTGCATTTGGGTCTGACCCACATCTCTTTGCCTGGCATAGGAGACGGTGCCAGGAAGTGCATGTCAGTGCTGCTGAGACCATAATCTGGCACCGAGTTATTTCAGTCGAGGTCTCCTTCCAAGGACCACAGAGGGTTAACAGCAGGGTGTGTTTAGAGTCACAGCTCAGCCCAGGAAGCACATGGCCCAGTCCCTTCGCTCTTTCAGAACAGAAGCACATGGCAGCCCTTCTCACCTGAGGTGAAACCAAGCTGCCCAGAGGCTACATTTCAATCAAACAGCTTGGATTGAGATGCTGGACAACTATGTTATACATCCATGTGGCAGCTCTTAAACAAGGCTCTTAGCAGTGGAAATGGGCCCAATTTATTTAGCATACATGCAGGTCGGTCCCCAAGACATGGCTGCCAACAGGCATCTGGTAAGTAAATAAAGGATTTTAAAAAAAGGGATGAATCACTCACACCATAATGTGCACCATGTGCGATCACAGCCTGTCGACACAGAACCTGGCAAAGAGTTAGGACATCCAGAGGGGCTGAACGCTGACACGTCACGTCCAAACAAACTTCACGCACTGCTGCTGAGAATATGCAGAGCAGACGACGCACAGAGGAGCAGGGAGCCAGGAAAGCGAGCCTTCGCCAGGATGACCTCAGATAAGGACCAGGTCCAAGAGCAGCAGCAGTTCATCACCTCCATCATGCCCACTGTGTTTGCATTTGCCGCCTTGTCACTTCTTTTCGATGGTGGGCAAAGCCAACAGGAGGAAAATGTAATAAACTCAGACATTTTCACTTTGAGCTTACAGATGAAAAAGGCAGTCCTGTATGAAGCATATGGATCTCCAGTGTCATTTGGGACCACTGCAGATTGTCTAAAAGGGTTAAAGCAGAATCCCAGGATGTGACACGCCTGACTGTAGCTGCATATATGGGAAAAAGCCAGAAGAGGAGAGAAAGAAAAAAAAAAACAAAAAAAAAACAAAAACTTTATAGAAATGTATGAATTTCTAGGACAGAAGATCTTATCAACACATGCATCACTTGGTTAGTGGATTATAAGGGCCAACATTTACCGCAACAAATTCTATACCATGTGCTTCCATTCTGAAAGAGCAAAGGGACTGAGCCATGCTCCAGTATATGGCAGCAAGGCATTATGGGGAATCTCAGGTATGAAATCCCTCTCCTTATACATCATACTACCGTACCTACACTGGCCCACAGTCACGTCTCATGCATGGAGTTATCAGGACGACACTCTGTAAGCAGTGTTGCATTCACCTGTCTGTGTGTGCCATACAATAGCCACAAGCGTGTTAGGCTAGAAGAATGACAGGAAGTGAGACCGGGGCTGGGGAATAGCTGGGCTGAACCTTCAGCCTCACACCTTCACTTCCAGGACCTCCAGTGGGCCCAGAGGGGGCCCTTTTGCAGGGTTCGAACACTTTTGATCAACAAATTTCAATGACTTTTTCATGACTTTTCCAAGACTTCAGTGTTGCTAAATTTCAAAGAACCGATTCAAAGAAAGATTTTTTGTTCAGGCCATTCAGGAAAAGTGTTTCAAGTTGTGATGTGATCATGATCACGACACCTTTACAAACATGCACTTTGTGTACAGTCGTGGCCAAAAGTTTTGAGAATGATATAATTATTGGTTTTCACAAAGTTTGCTCCTTGGGTGTTTGTAGATCTTTTTGTCAGATGTTTCTATGGGATACTGAAGTATAATTACAAGCATTTTTTAAGTGTCAAAGGCTTTTATTGACAATTACATGTCAATATTTTCAGTATTGGCCCTTCTTTTTCAATTTGTCTGGCATGCTGTCAATCAACTACTGGGCCAAATCCTGATTGATGGCAGCCTATTCTTTGTCAGAATTTGTGGGGTTTTGTTTGTCCACCTGCCTCTTGAGGATTGACCAAGTTCTCAATGGGATAAAGGTCTGGGGAGTTTCCTGGCCATGGACCCAAAATGTCGATGTTTTGTTCCCCGAGCCACTTAGTTATCACTTTTGCCTTATGGCACGGTGCTCCATCATGCTGGAAAAGGCATCACCCAACTGTTCTTGGATGGTTGGGAGAAGTTGCTCACGGAGGATGTTTTGGTACCATTCTTTATTCATGGCTGTGTTCTTAGGCAAAATTGTGTGAGCCCACTCCCTTGGCTGAGAAGCAACCCCACACATGAATGGTCTCAGGATGCTTTACTGTTGGGAAGACACAGGACTGATGGTAGCGTTCACCTTTTCTTCTCTGGACAATCTTTTTTCCAGATGCCCCAAACAATCGGAAAGGGGATTCATCAGTCCTCAGCAGTCCAATCCCTGTATCTTTTGCAGAATATCAGTCTGTCCCTGATGTTTTTCTGGGAGAGAAGTGGCTTCTTTGCTGCCCTTCTTGACACCAGGCCATCCTCCAGAAGTCTTCACACTCACACCTGCATGCTGCCATTCCTGAGGGAGCTCTGCACTGGTGGTGCCTCGATCCCGCAGCTGAATCAACTTTAGGAGACGGTCCTGGCACTTGCTGGTGTTTCTTGGGCACCCTGAAGCCTTCTTCACAACAACTGAACCTCTCTCCTTGAAGTTCTTGATGCGATAAATGGCTGTTTTAGGTGCAATCTTACTAGCAGCAATATCCTTACCTGTGAAGCCCTTTTTGTGCGAAGCAAAGACTGCACATGTTTCCTTCCAGGTAAAAATGGTTAACAGAGGAATGACAATGATTTCAAGCAGCAGCCTCCTTTTAAAGCATCCAGTCTGCTATTCTAACCCAATCAGCATGACAGAGTGATCTCAAGCTTTGTCCTCTCACCTGTGTTTACGGGAGAATCACTGAAATGATGCCAGCACATCCTTTTGTGGCAGAGTTGAAATGCAATGGAAATAGGTTTTTTGGGATTAGGTTCATTTTCATGGCAAAGAGGGACTTTGCAATTAATTGCAATTCATCTGATCACTCTTCATGACATTATGTAGTGTATGCAAACCGGCATCATAAAAAGTGAGGCAGCAGACTTTGTGAAAATTAATATTTGTGTCATTCTCAAAACTTTTGCCCACGACTGTAGAGGAATCAGCTGCTATGATCTTGCATTTATCCTTTGCATATGGATGTACCTTCCATTGCGTATAATTTTACAGACATACATGGTGCCTTTCTCTCTTGTTCAGACACACGCTAGCAAAAAAAGTTGCAGTTTAATTTCCATCTGGTCTAATAATGGTGAGCTGAACAATTATTAACCAAACTAGACCATCTTTTCTAGCTATCAGCAAATAAAGTCATTAATTCATTCCTTACATTTGCAATAACAGGACACGATAATTACTGAGTTTTATAAGTTAGTGCTAAGACACATTATTTGCACGTGCCATTATAAATAACCTAATGGAACATAAGCATGATATAAGTGACACAAATGTAAGAAAGAAATGTCAACTTGAAATAGACCCAACATGTTATAGTACAGTGGTACCTCAGTTCTCAAACTCATTAGAACTAAAAATCGTACCAACCAGTTAAAAAAAAATTACCTAGAACTTGATCTGAATTTCAGAAGTCAAACCGTGAATGCAGACCTAAGATATCTTGTACGCGCGGGGAAATGAGTCACGTGGCACTTCTCTCAGCAGAAACAAAGGGTAACACTTCAGTCTCAGCCTCGCATGAATTCACTGTGATAGCATCGTGCATGTTTACACTAGCTGAATACATATATTTAGACAGTAAAAATAAATTGACAATGATAGTAACAGTAATTATTATTATATAATAAAATACATTTAAAAATAAAGATTTCTTATTAATTATTTTAATATTAATAATAAACTATTAATACATTTAATTATAATAATATTGTCATGCCCAGCGGGGACGGAACAGAGACAAAGGCGCAGACGTCAGAGTATTGGGGAATACAGAGTTTAATTACGGGTAAGGCAGGCAAAACGCAGACGGACAATACAATGACTGGACTGGGGAAGCAAACTGAAATGCGGACGAAAATACAGAGGACTAATGACAACAACCAGAAACAGCTGATAACACGGGGATCCCACACGAGGTTAACGAAGGGCGTGACACACGGAAGGAGCGGACAATCGGGGCAGGACACTAGTTTGTTTTTTTTAACTTTACACATTGTTTGGATACATTTATTTTCTTACTTTACAAATTACTGTTTTGATAAATGTGCTTAGATGTGTTTAGTACATTATATGCTCTTCTTGTTTTATCCTGTTCATTTTGTGTTTAAATGCTAAAAAAAAAAACATTTAAGTGTAATTTTTTGGGGCTGGGAACCAATTAATTGGTTTTCCATTATTTCTTATGGGGAAAATTTGAACTCGAACTTTTTAGGATTCGAGAATTGTGAAATTCTGAACTCTCCTATACAAATTCCATCATCAGTATGTTCAAAACGGTTTTGATTTATTCATCCTGGGAATCCCAAAGGGATTTTCCTCTTGGCCTCCCCCACCACTCCAGGACCTGCCCCATGAAGGGAGGTCTTTGTGTCATAAGCAACTCCATCCACTTCCACTCTCAACTGTCAGAGCA